CTAGCCCCAAACCCTGAACCCTGAACCCCTGAACCCCTAAACCCTAGACCTCAAAATCTCTAAAGCTAGCCAAAGAGCAGCTCACCGACTTGTTTTTGCCGTCCTTCGCCCCCACGGACACCGCGGAAGTCGTCGATGTAGCCGAGCTGCTCCTAAGAGTCTACTCAATGGGCTCCTCTAAGACTTCTTTAAGCGTTTAGGGTTTAGGGCTTAGGGCTTATAGGGTTTAGGGTTGCGAACATTAGGGTTTAACCCCAAGACTCCAAGTATACAAAAACTACCTACTTTGGGCTATTTGGAGTCTTAGGGTAAAGGTGTTTAGAGTTTAGGGCCCCGGGTTCCTTGGAAGGGCTTCCTTTAAGGAATATGGGCTCGTTTTAGGGTTTGGGGTTTAGGGGATTCCTAAGTACTAAGGGTGTTGGGGATAGGGCGTTTGGGGCTTCAGGACTTAGGACTTACCCAGAGAACCCAATACACCTCAATTAAGGAATAGACCTTAAACTATAGGGGCCTTATAATATTATGATTTAAGGTATATCCCTTAATTAAGGAGGGGTTCTCTGGGGACGCACAGTAGGGTTAATGGAGTGCGTCAGCGGGGGTTTCTTCAGACAGCTTTAGGGGCTCTCGCAAGGGTTCCCTTCACAGCTTTTACATGGTTTCTGTAACGGCTCCTTTAAGCCTTTTAAGGGTTCTATAAGGATAGACACTGTGATTAAGGATTTGCTAGATTATTGTTTAGGGTTTCATGTACTGGGATGTAGGGCTAAGGGTTTCGGGCTTAGTGAGACTAAGCCCTAAATTCTAAGCCCTGAACCCTAAGTGTGATGGTGTGAAGTGGATCCTCTCCCTCAGCGTATAGTACAGACCTTAACGTACCCAGTTAGGAACGCGCTTAAGGCCCAAGTACGTACTATATGGGTACATGGACCGTTTAACCACTGTACAAAAAGCCCACATACAAGGAGTAGCAAAAGAACTGAGAATAGAATTTCCCTAGTAAATAACGACAAATCATCGTCATGACCACATACTGTTGATGATAAGCGTCATCATCATACTGTCATGACGATAACTATAAGTCGACACAATGAAAATTCACACACCAATTCCAGTCATAACGTGCTAGATATAGATGACGGTCATACTGATAGAAATAGTAGTAGTAATCGGAATAGCAATAGTAAACATGAACTAAAAGTCATACATGGTCATTGTAGTAAGAAGAGCTACGGTACCAAGATACTAGTCATCGGTATGGTCATAAGCATAGTCAGAGTCATAGTCTTAGAGTCCTTGTCTTAGTGCTAATCACAGTCATCGTCATCGTAAGAGTAAGAGTAAGACAAAGAAAAACAGCTGTGATCATCATGGAAACAAGTTGAGTGGTAATAATAGGCGTTTTGGGGGGTCACCACGACAATGATCACAAGTGTAAGCATCTTATTAAGAAAAACACGAATAAAAAATCAATGTAGTAGTACTAGTCACAATACTAACTTCTCTGGCGATTGGTACATAGCGCGAGAAGGTCTGCTCGTCTGAAGCATTCGGAAACCTCAGGGACGTAAGCAAAAAGCGGAGGGGCCTCAACAAGACTGTTCAGGGGTGTTGCTTTTAGGGCTTTAGCCGCAAGACAACATGAACCGAGATGCGTAGATAAGTCGAAAACGATGCGCCGCCAAACGATATCGACCAGCCTGGCTATGGCTTCCGGCTTCGGGAGTTTGTCAGGTTTGCATAAGGATCAGACATTATGCGTTAGGGCCGTTAGGGCTTGAGGTTTGAGGATGATTGTCCCAGGACTTCGATGCAGGGTTTCTCTGCTAAGCGCTCTGTCAGAGTTGGCTGAGGGTTTATCGGAGCTTGGGCTGCATAGTTGGGTGCTACTGCTTGTGCCACTGCCACTTCTGCTGCCGCTACTGCCCCTGCCGCTACAGCTGCTGCCGATACTGGTAAAGCTACTGCTCCGGCTACAGATGCAGCTTAAGCGTCTGCGACCGAGACAGCGACTGCTCCAGCTAATTGCTGCTACTGCTGCTGCTGCTGTAGCTACTACTACTATTACTACTACTACTACTACTACTACTACTAATAATAATAATAATAATAATAATACTGATACTGCTGCTGCTACTACTACTACTACTACTACGACGACGACGATTACTAGTCCGACTACTACTACTCCGACGACGACTACTACTACTACTACTACTACTACTACACCACCACCAACACCACCACCACGACGACGACTACTACTACTACTACTACTACTACTACTACTACTCCTGATGCTGCTCCCGCTGCTGCTACGACGGAGACTACTACTCCCAATACTACCACTCCTCCTCCTCCTCCTGCTGCTGCTGCTGCTGCCACTATCCGGTACGGCCATGAAATCTTAATGGGAATGGCAGTACACGGCAACATTGGTGTGATGTGCGTTGTGGCCACACTGCGTCGTTCCTATGTCTGTACATGCTGGTATGCACCAACCCTCTGCTTAAAACTGACAATAGGATGAGTGCCTGTCCTCTAAACCCTGAAAAGGCCTGAACCATAAACCCTAAACACTCAGACCGCAGACTATGCCCGAAAACACTGTACTCAGGACTCAACCCTAACCTCTAAACCGCAGACCAAACTGACAAGGAGACCTTCAAGAGCTCGGTTGCAGCAGACTTGCGGCTCGTCAACACCTGATCTTAACGCCGAAAACCTACAGGCCTATGGGCCTTAGGGCCTTGGGGTTTGTGGTGGGTTTCGGGTCTAGGGTCTTAGCTTAAGCTGTCGGGTTTAGGAACCGCACCAAGGGAACTCATTGCCCAGAGAACCCCATACACCTTAATTTAAAAATATACCTTAAGTTAGAGGGCCCTTAGTACTAGTATTATGGTTTAAGGTATATTCCTTACTTAAGGGGTATTGGGCTCTCCGGGTGTGGCTTGAAAACAGGATCCCGGTCTCGATTTAGGGTTTAGGGTTTAGGGTTCAGGGTTCAGGGTTTAGGGGTTTACGGTTTAGGGGTTTAGGGTTTAAGGGTTTAGGGTTTGGGGTTTAGGGTTTAGGGTGCCCTAAGCCTCAACTACCACGGTTTAGGGTTCAGCATTTAGGGCCCTGCCTCAACTACCCAAACCCACTCATGCTTGTGAGGTCCCTATAAGTATGGGGCTTTAAGTAAGAGCTTTGAAAGAAGTAGGTAAGAAGATGATAAGAGTTGACAGGAATATCCCTAAACCCTAAACTCTAAGCCCTAAACCCTAAACCCTAACCCTAAACCCTAAAACCCTAAACTAATCCCGAAACGAGCACATCCCAAACCCCAAGTTTTCATCCCCTCACCATACTCCTAAGTCCAGCACCCTTCACAGCAAAACTCAAACCCTAAACCGGCCTTCCTCCACCTCAACATGCTGAACCCCGATTCCTCCAAGAATGAGCCTCCAAGAACACACCCAAACCCTGTAGAGCTTAGGGTTTTAGGGATTTAGTAGCCCTGAAGTATGAATCCTTACGGCCTACAGCCTGAACCCTCAACCCCAAACCTTACAAGTCCCAAACTTTCGGCTCAAGCCGCACTTTCAGTCATCGAAGAGTACATTGCCCAGTATCCTCAAAGGAAGATGCACCATGCTTCCTGACAGGGTTTAGGGCTTTTAGGTTTTAGGGGTTTTTAGGAGTATGAGCAAGGACAAAGCACTGACTGTACACAGTATGAGCACGGACACCAGCACAGGGCACCCATGGCTCTGTCCTTGTCGACAGCTCCTGGGGCATCACACTCTCGTGGAATGTGGCCCTTGGGAGAGTGCCCTTGCGGAGGTCTTGGGGGGTACATCCAGTCGTACTTGGACAGCTGGATCTTCCCCACATTCTGCCAAGTCCAGGGCTTGTCCATCTACAGCCGAAAGAACTCCTGGTGCGAAGCCGGGATGATTGCAGCCTTGCTGCACCATGTGAAGCCCGCTCCCAAATCCAAACCCTAAACCCTAAACCCTATTCTTGTTTTTAGACCTCCTATCGGCGGCCTTCGGCTTCGTGGGATGAGGACCCTGCGGGCAGCGTCCACTTGGCCAAAGTGCGCAAAGTGACGAACATGTGGGTGGTTCTCTAAAGTAGGGTCCTTGTTAGGTCTCCGATATAGTGAATTAGGACCCTAAAAGGGACCCTAATTTTAGAGAACTACCCATGCGCCGATGGCGCAACCCTTCACGCCCTCAGGGCTTGTCGACGGGCTTCAGGGTTTAGGGCTTGGGGTTGTCGAGGTTCCTGCTGTAGTACCCTTGTTCCGTCTTTCATAGTCTCGTCACTAAAGCTGAAACCCTAAACCCTAAACCCTGAAACCCTGAAATCCTAAACCCTAAACTCTGAAACCCTAAACTCTAAACCCCCTAAACCCTGGAACCACTCAGGAGCCCTTAAGGGATCCTAAACCCTAAACGCTATGACCCTTAGCCCCCGTAATCCCAAACGCTTTATTCAAAGAGCCTAAACCCTCGCGAACCCTCCGCCCTTAATTCTATACCCTAAACTCCTGAACCCTAAACCCTAAACCGTAAGGAACCCCAAAAGAAACCCTAAACCTAGCCCTAAACCCTAAACCCTAAACCCTACCAAAAAACTCGTAAAAGAAGCCCCCTTAAAGGAGCCCCTGACGGTGCCTCCAGCTTACCCTCATCCCCCGGCGGCTGCGCAGCACCGTCTCTCCGGTCTACCGACTCGAGATGGAGGTGAAGAATGGCCTGGGGGCTTCTTGCTTAGGAGGGGTGGGGGAGGGGGGTTTAGGGTTTAGGGTTTAGGGTTTAGGGTTAGGGTTTGGGGTTCACGGGCTTTCGGGGTTTCGGGTTTAGGGGTTTAGGGGGCTTACGGGTTTAGGGGTTTACTTGGAGGATCATGGGACTTTTAGTAACTAGGGTTATAGATACCTATACTTATAAGTAGTTATAACCCCAACTAAGGTAGTTGTAACCTTACTTACTAAGTCCCATGATCCTCCAAGTGGGGGTTTATGAAGGGACCTTTAAGGACTCTGCGGGGCTTAGCGCACAGATACGGCACAGCCTCCGCTTTGGACCAAAACCTGCTCCCGAACCGGAATCTGTGGCGATGTAGAGGCCTGAAGATTTAGAATAGGGTATTAGGGTTTAGGCCAGTTTAGGCTTCTTTATGGCATAAAATTATAAAATATACTCTCGATATAAGAAACATAAGGAGCCCGAAGCAGTACTAGTGGTCCTTATTCCCTAAACCCTAAACCCTAAACCCTAAACCCTAAACCCTAAACCCTAAACCCTAAACACTCTCGAGGCGAAGCCCAAACCCTAAACCCGAATCAGGAAGAAGACGGTTTAGGGTTTAGGGTTTAGGGCCTTAGGGTAAACCCTAAACCCTAAACCCCAAATTTATATAAACCCGGCTATGGAATTTATACGGGACCCTACAAAAAAGTAGATTCTG